TTTACCATATTTACAACTTTAATTACAAAAAGAGTTTCGTAAGACTAGAGCGGAATATACAGTATTCCCATCTGTCTGGAAAACCGCTCTTGTCCGACTTTTAAATAAAACTTCAAATCCTTCCTCACTTCCTGACTACCATCCAATTTCTCTCCATTACAACCTTTCAAAATCGCTGGAACGCCTCGTCCTAAATCAACTTTCCAACTTGAACATTCCATAATCAACCGTCTACAATCTGGCTTTCGCCCTGGCCACTAAACACACTCTGCACTACTAAAAATAATCCATGGCCTCCTAACCTCCATTAAACACAAAAAACTTACTATTCTCAACCTCCTAGATTTTTCCAAAGCATTTAACAAAGTTGACCTTAGCATCCTCCTTACTAAACTGCAAAATCTTCCTATATCCAACAGTGTCCTGTGTTGGTTCAAATCCTTCCTTTCTTACCGAACCCAGTATGTAGTCGTCCCAAGTCAACCACCTTCTAAAACACTTCCACACTCCTGTGGTGTCCCTCAAGGTTCCTCCTTATCTCCTACTCTATTTTTTATTCTGGTCTACTACGTTCAAGAACCTTTTAAAGCAAAATATAGTAAATACTGCGGATTTTGATGAGGCCGTAGGCAAGTTCCTTAAGTTCCTCAAAATTATCAATGCGGAACTGCCAGGTCCCCAGCACCCATCCGTAAAATTTTATAGGATGAGGAAAAAAAAAAAATGAAAATGGCTGACAAGGGTGCTGGACAAGTTTCAAATCCGCAGAGGGCAAACAAAGTAGACAGGAGTCGTCGGCAGGAGCAGTGTCAATATGAGGTTGCCCAATATAATTATTATAATAAAAGAAAAAAGGTTGTGCAAACTGTAATGAATGCCGCCGCTCCTAAACGGTGTCCTCTAAAAATGGCCGAAATCGAGAGGCATTATAAAGACCTCTTTGAAAGCGAAAATCTCTGCGGGCGTGCGGATTACGAATAGTGTGCCCCGATGCCAAATTTGCTGTCTATTGACATAGAAGCTGTCAAGAAAGCCATTAAGTCAACGTCAATGGACACATCGCCGGGGCCTGATGGAGTTCTGATCCGCACAATCTAATATTTTGACGTATCAAACATTATCAAAACGATTGCAGAGATAATGCTGAAGGTGGCCTATGTTCCGGAACCACTTCGACAAGGGTGCACAATATTAATATATAAGGGCAAAGGTGATATAAACAATATCTCTACCTGGAGACCGATCACCATATATTCGATTGTGCGCCGAATCATAGAGAAGGTTCTGGACCACGAATTAAGAAAGCAGGTCACCTTCCACAAGAGTCAGAGAGGCTTTATAAAAGGTCTCCCGGGAACGCACGTCAACGCGAGGATTATCGACGCGGTATTAAAAGATGCACACAAAATGAAAAAATGACTGTGCGATAGTTTTCCTCGACGTTGTCGGTGCTTTTGACAATGTTGGCCATAAACACATCGTGAGCTCCTTAGAAGCGAGAGGTGTGTCACCGAATCTTGCAAATGTCATATCGGCTCTCCTTAGCACGAACACCATAAAGATTAATAACAGTGTCCATGCAACTAGCCAGATCAAAGTACTGCGCGGTGAGCCCCAAGGCGGCCCCCTGTCGTCTTCACTCTTCAACCTGGCCATCGATCATCTCTACCGCGACCTGTGCGATGAGGACTTTTCCAAGAAATTTGGATACAAATTAAGGAATGAGCAGGATTGTGTGGTCCTCACAGGTTTCGAGGATGACCAGGCTGTATCGGCGCGAGACAAGGGGCTGCAGAAAGAGTGATTGACAGCATCCAGAGGACATTTGAAGAAATTGGTGGCTATAAATCCTCAAAAAAGTATGGGCATCGTTGTAAATAAAGGAGAGCTGGAAACTACGGTTCTCTCCCTTGAGAATGGTGAGTACATCCAAACATTGAGGAATGGAGATACGATTAAGTATTTAGGATGTACATTCTCGGGAGAGCTACAATTCAACGAAGATTCGGTGACTAAATTGAATGATAATTTAAACAAGCTGGTAACCTCTTGCTTACTCAAACCTGAGCAGAAACTCAACATTGTCAATCAATATCTGTTCCCGGGTCTTACTTACCCTCTCCAAACTGCGCCCCTAACAAAGCTGCGTCCTGCTATCCTGGAGGACATCGACATTATGATTCGCAGGAGCGTAAAGGCCATTATTGGACTTCCTGCGAATACTTCCACAGCGATGTTGTATGCCCCCAGGAGATACCGAGGATTGGGATTGATCCGCTGCCAATGGGAGGCTCCTCTTCAACATTGGTCCATTGCTCAGCGACTGTCCAACGTACCAGATGCCCTTTTTCAGTCTACCTTCGATTATTCGGCTGAAATTACTGAATGTGCCAAGAGATTGGGGGTTGATCAGGGTCATCGAAATGTGAAAGCTCTACGGCAGTCGCTACGAGAAAATGCATTTGAGGAATGGGCCAACTGCGGGTGGCAGGGTATTGGTGTTCGCCATTTTAAAGAGACCCCGAAAGCGAATAGATACATCTACGAAAAGCAAGTACTTTCTGGGTCTGAATGGTCGAATGCCCTAAAACTTATCATTAATTATGCACCCCTGCGTGGAGTCCCAGGAGTCAGCAGACAGGTCGGAGAAGGTGGGTCCCTCTGCCGTAAATGCGGCAGAGAGTCTGAAACACCAGCCCATGTGCTGAGAAAATGCCCCAACAACTCCCTCCTCATAACACGACGCCACCACCGGGTCAAGTTCGAGTTGATGAGGCTCCTTAGGGAAAGGAAATTCACCTGCTTTGACGAGGTATATTGCATCGATAGTGAAGGCTCTACGAGATACGCGGATATCGTCGCATTTCCCAAGACAGGAAGGACAGCGCTGATCTTGGATCCAACTGTCCCCTTTGAGAGCAATGACCTCGATCTGGCGGGTGAAGTGGAAAGGGAAAAGAAGAACACGTACGATAAATGTATCCCTTTCCTAAAAGATAAATTTGGTGAGACCTTCGGAGAGAGAGAGAGTTCACCGTGAGAGGCCTCTGGTTTGGGTCTCGCGGAACTATCCCAAAAAGAACAAGGAGCTTCCTCGAGGAACTAGGTGTCGACATTAAGGACGTAGCGAGGTTGGCTGAAAATATAGTCCTCGACTCCCTGGGAATCATTCACCACCACGTGCATGGCTAGCCCGAGAGTTTTAATTTATGTATTTATTTATTCATTTAATCAATAATTGAAAACAATAGAGATAAAGAGAGAGAAGTGAGAGAAAGGGAAACTAAATGTTAAAGAAAAAAAAAAAAGCATAAACAATGAAAGGAAGGGAAAAGGAAAAAAAATAAAATAATAACAATGTATATATATATATATATATATATATATATATATATATATTTTACTAATATTAACTAATACTTCTGTATATTTATATATAAGTTCATATATTGTCCTAAGGATAGAAGAGTATGCTGTGTATATAGCAACCCAATATAATTGGGCAGCAATCCTTTATATTTTATGAAAATAAAGTGTTTCTCTCTCTCTAATGACCTTCCTCTCCTGATCCATCACTCACATTACCATATTTATGCAGATGATTTCCAAATGTACCTGTCCTTCCACCCTTATAACCTATTAGCAGCCTCAAAAAACTTCAAGATGACTTAAATAGAATTTGTGACTGGGCTGAAGCTAACAAGTTGAAGTTGAATGCGGAGAAGCTCGAGGCAATTTTGATAAGCTCCAATCAACTCTTAAGAAGAATCTGGAATCCTCAAGGGAATCCTCAATACTCTTTTGTGAGATTGCCCGATAGAAGGGAGAACCATGCAACGAAAGAGATGTAGATAAAACCCCTCGAGATTCAGGAGTCCTGGCGAGGCTCTCGGCACTTAAGCTACAAACAATGTCCCATTAGAAGACGGCCAGATAGGTAATAATCAAACAATGGAGATCCAGTAACTTTTAAAAATTTGTTGGCAAAGCATTTGAGTCCCCTAAACTTCTTAGAAGTCCTTGAATTCGGAAAGCTCCTTCATACGTGAAGAACTACTATACTTTAGACTTGTTTATTGATTTATTATCTATTTTCATGTTTATATGTCTAAATGGAGGGTAAATGCTTCTTGAGCATTAATATCCAGAACCACAGGTACCCATCCCCCCAAGATTGATGGCGTAAGAACCTCCCCCCTCCTCTCAAGATATTTTATTGCTTACCTTTTCTTAAAAGTAGAGAAAGTTAAGGTAGAATTTGAAAAATCGTAGATCGTATACAATTACACTTGCTGGCGTAGTTTCATGTTTTCCTATTTAGTCATTTAGTCCGAAAATTTATAACCCCGTCGAAGTTTGCCCCTCTGAAAAATTCAAAAACATGTCAAAATATGCCCCCTCAAAAATTTTGATTGCGCTATGAAGCCCTGGGCACCCCTGTCTTGAGCTGCTTGTTGGAACAGACCCATGAAGATCTAGTTATCAACATTTAGGAAAAACATATGTTAGCTGCTTAACCTCATTAATTTAGTTATTATTGTGTGTTTATTATTAATGTTATTATTGTGTGAGTTGAGTTCAGTTTAATAAAGCCTTTATGTATCAAGGTATTCATTATTTTGTCAAAGGTGGAACCTTTTTATTAGATTAAACTTTTAAAGCAATTAGTATAAGGAGTGTCATCGGTAAAATTCTAAAAAAATGCTAGCTATTCCATTTACTTAGTAACTTCTCTTTTATCGTACATTATTTGAATTTCTCTTCATTAATATAAGAAAAAGTATGAAAAGGTCCCAACCTTAGTACCTGAAACAGAACGACCCACATGCCCTAAACTACCAAATTCTTCCGGAACAAATTGTTGTAATATTATTTTACTTTCTTGAGCAATTTCAACAAGAATTTTAATGTAATTCTTTTCCATTTTACTAAATAATCGGTCCTTGTCTTTGATAATATCAATCTGTTAAATGATTTTTTTATCTAACCATGTGATAGATAATAAGTACAAAAAATATCTGTTTACTTTCTATTGATAGGACATAAGAGTATAGTTGAAAATAATAGCTAAGTTCAATTGCTGTAATGGAAGATACAGGCGATGTATCTGAAGCACTTCTCCGCCGTCAACTTTTTCACAAATTCGGTGATAGAGAAGTGGATTCAGGTGAAAAAGTTGTCCGAAAGTCACCTATATCCGCCAAGGATGACATCTGGTTAATCAGGTCTCTCAAGGAAACCACATCTCAACGTCGTTATGAAAGTGGGTATTTAAATAATAAATTCCTGTTTAATTTTGTTTACTTACAAATAAATAAATAACAGGTAAATTTGGATGGATATAGTAGTAATAGAAAAGAACTTGAGATTCAAATAATTGTTTTGTCGGTATCCTTCCAGTTACGCGTTGGACCATAGTTTCCTCCAGCTGACGATATAGAATATCATTAAGACGATCAGATTATTTTAAGGCCGGTTAGAGGATCGGACCATACATAGGAACCGACTGCTAGGTGCTAGCGGGGCCAGAGCTCCTCCTCTATCCCCAATAAATTGCTTTAGTATGAAGTTCATGAACATATAGATCGTGTACATTACAATTACATCACAAAATACTTTATCTATCTACTAGCAGATGTAGTAGAATTTGTTTAACGATGCCCTATTGTGGATTCATAAACCCAACTAAAAAGTAAAAGGAATCATCTATTAAAATACTGTACTGTGTTTGTTTAAAGTATTTTGTGTGAAAACCCTTCTTTGTCATCAGGAAGTGCTTGAAACAACTCAATACTTGCCTGAGATGGTAATTATTCATATGGACATATATTATAATGAAGAGAGGAATAGTTGGGGTGGTCAGTCAAAAAGGAAGGCAAAAAATAAATGATAATATTTATTTTTTACATATGCCGATGTTTCGACCTGAAGTTCAGGCCTTCATCAGGGCTAAGAAAATAACCAGATAACAAGGTATGAGAAACATAAGTAGTGATGGTAAAAAAAAAAAAAACTACTTACGTTTCTCATACTCACGTATTTTACGTTACTCGCTACTTATGTATCTCATACCTTGTTATCTGGTTATTTTCTTAGCCCTGATGAAGGCCTGAACTTCAGGTCGAAACGTCGGCATATGTAAAAAATGAATATTATCATTTATTTTTTACCTTCCTTTTTGACTGACCACCCCAACTATTCCTCTCTTCATTATCCACGAGAGTCAACCAATTACCAATTATGGACATATATTATATATTGTATATGGGTCTATAGGATATATTCCAAACAATATCCCCACCTCCCTCAGTCCCCACCCCGTGATCCTATAGTTTGATCCCCCCAATAATTTTCTCAAGTCGGCGCCTATGGGACCGCATATAGAGGTTTGAATGTACATTACGAAAGTGAGTTATTTTAAGTAAAATGAACATTGCCTGGTCGTTTCAGCGCCACTACTTTCTAGAATGATGGCTGATTAAAAGAATATTAGCTCATTATCTTTTACAAAAGTATTACAGATTAAATAAAGAAACAATACCAAAGTACGAAATTTAATTTTAACAAAATTATTCGGTAAACTAGTAGACCCATTTTATATTCTATTTCGTTTCTTGAAGGTAAAACGTTGGCCAGAATTCAAGATTTCGTTGAAAAAATCACAGAACATTGGATGAAAAAACTTGAAGCTGTCAGGGATGTCTTCCAAGAAACGATTGCAAAGATAGTGGAACAACGCCAAAAGGAAATATATTACCACACAAGTTGTCTCAAGGAAGAACTGCAAGATACCAAGGACATACTGGACAAAACTGAGGTTACTTTATTAATTTTTGTTTTACCATTATAAAGTTGAAAAAAGATCCACTGACTTGAAGTTTTCACTCGAATTTATTTTTCAGGAATTTGACTCTAAAATCATCGATCATTTAAAGGAGACTTGGCTTAGCATTTTATACAATTGGAAAACAAATATGTTTGAAGTAGAGGAAAAAAGCTCCAAGTTCCTTAAAACGGCGGTAGCTAGATATTTGGCGAAACTGGTAGCGACTAGGCACAATCCCTGCCACACATTCGAAGTGATGTTGACATTAGTATTGGTAAATCATAAAAGCTTATGCTAATTATTTTATAATAGTTTATACAAAATGTTATTAATTGAACTAATATTTAAGAATTAATATTTTAAAAACATACTCATCGTTTTTATCGTCCTTCATACTCAGCTAGGTGAACAAAAGAAATATGCAAAACGACATCTAGAGGGTAAATCATAGAGAATAAAAATCAGTTACTGGTTAATGCTGACAAAATTAAATAATTGGTTGTTTCCAGGATTGCCCTCTCCCAAGGTCAATGCAATGGTGCAGGATCCTTTCCCCATCCATCTTCATAAGATATTTTATTGATATCCTCTTCTTAAAACAGTGCAAACAAAAGCATAATTTAAAAATTCATAGATTATATACAATTACACATCCTGCAGTCTTTTCCATGTTTCCATTTGTCTTTTGATTTGAAACTTTTCATTTCGAAAATTCATAACCCCGTCGAAATGTGCGTCCCAAAAATTTAAAACCCCGTCAAAATGTGCGTCCCTAAAATTTTAATGGCGCAACCTGCTCCCTGAAACCGAATTCTGGACACCCCTGTTTCCAACTTCCCCTGTTTCTGACTTGTGTTTCCAACTTTCTTACGCACTATCCTCACTTAATTTTCTTGGTAGTGGGGGAAAATATTTTTTTCAATCATGGTTGATTTAGACGGGACTTCAAAGTAAAAACTGTGTTTATTTGTTTTATCTTTAGTTATATAACAGTGGATCAGCTGATGCGAAGGTCGTATTCTGAAATCTTCTCTCAGTTTTTGCCTATTTTTCAGCGGAATCTATTTGATTATTTACTGAATACAGTTGAAGTGTACACCACAGCAGTTGTTATTTACTGTTTGCTACATTTTTTTTTTTTTAATTTTTAATTTTTTTTTTTTTCTCTTATGATATGCCGGATTGCCAACAAGTGATGTCCAGTAAGGTGCCCACTAAGAGGACTCGGTCAGACGGTGTTACCACCCCTCGTGATTCACCAGCGAAACAAAGAACTCGTCGCTGCCTGCGAGAAATAGCTCCTATAACCACAGTGAAAACTTCAGATCCAGAACTTCAGCCTCAACCAGGTACCTCTTCGCAAGAAATGGTTGAAGAATCTCCTTTCTTCACTCCAAACCCGTTCCAAGTGCTTCATAATGACAGAGAAGTAATGGAGTCAGCAGCAATATCCAGGGAACCAAAGCCTCCTCCGATATTTGTAAAAAATATCAAAAATTTCCAACTACTATGCACACAACTAAACGAAATCTGCTCCGGCAGTTATTCTTGCCACAACAGGACTAACGACACAAAAATAACACCTAATACTGCAGAAGCCTACCGAAAAATTGTGAAGTACCTGTCAGAAACGAATGCAAATTTCCACACGTACCAGCTGAAACAGGAGAGATCGCTACGAGTGGTGGTAAGAAATTTACACTTCTCAACCCCAACTGAAGTGACAAAAGAAGAACTAGCAACGCTTGGTTTCAAAGTGCGTCAGGTAACCAATGTTCTGAAGGAGAATAAGGAGCAACCAGGAGTAAGTAATAAAGTTCCACTACCTATATTTTTCGTGGATCTAGAGCCATAACCTGGTATTGAAAAGATATATGATATCAAGAGATTGTACTACACTATCGTGAAGATAGAGAAGCCATACCCCAAGAAGGAAATTGTGCAGTGCCACAATTGCCAGGCGTATGGCCACACGAAAACTTATTGTCACCATCTTCCACGTTGCGTGAAATGCGGTGAACAGCACAAATCTGTGGAGTGCACCAAACCGTTACAAGATCCTGCAGTGTGTGCACTATGCCAGGAGGGACACCCGGCCAACTACAAAGGCTGCCAAAGAGCCTCAAATCCAGATACCAGAAGAACCGGATTCAAGATGAGACAACCAGACCAAGAAGAGAACCTTCTAGAATTGTAAATAATAATTTATCATACTCCGAACTACTTGGAGGTAAGAACCCAAATAATACATGTGAAGCCCTACCGCAGCAACTACCTCAGCCCCAACATCAATATTCTGTTCATCCTAACACACATAATCATCAACAGCCTCAAATTCCTCATATTCCTCCTCCTTCAAATGCAACAGATCTCACCAGTTTGTTAGCATCTTTCCTCACCGATTTCGAATCCCTAGTTAGTCCACTCATATCACTCCTTACAAATCTCATATCTCACCTCATCCCTCCTTTACAAAATCCTTAATGACTCAAATCCCAAAACCCATGTCCATTCTCCTTTGGAATGCGAATGGTGTTAGAAATCACGTTGACAAACTAACACCTTTACTACAAGACAAGAACATTGACGTAGCCCTAATTACAGAAACTCGACTGACCATAAAACAGCATTTAAAAATCCCACAGTATATCACGTACCGTACTGACCATCCTGACGGTAAAGCACATGCCGGTACTGCTGTCATCGTACACCAATCCTTCTCCCATCACTTACTCCCATTACCTACTCAAGATTTCCTACAGTCAACCGCTATTGTAATCAAAACCTTCTCCTTTCCAGTCACCCTTGCTTCAGCATATTGCCCTCCTAACAGATCCATATCCAAAGTCTAGTTCAGTTCTCTCCTAAACTCCTTAGGTCATCATTTCATCCTGGGTGCAGACTTAAATGCCAAGCATCAAGTTTGGGGTTCAAGAACCACGAATTCTCGTGGCAGAACATTTCTGTCTGCACTCAATACCCAACGTTTCAGTCTCCTTCCACCCAACTCACCAACCTACTGGCCCACTGATCCTAACCGCAATCCTGATATCCTTGATTTTTTCATCCACAGTGGTTTAGGTCCCCTCAATCATTCCCTTAGCCGTCTTGACGAACTTTCCTCAGATCATAGTCCATTATTACTCCAATTATCTCTAGCTCCTATTCCTAAGTCTTCTCCACCGTCCTTCATCAGAGGCCCAGTTAACTGGAAACTCTTTCACCAAATCCTTTCCGATAAAACCCCAGATGACCTTGACAATGCCGTACACCTTTTCACCACCACTATCCAACAAGCAATCTGGACTGCTTCCTCTCCAAACCACTCCTCAAGAACTCCCAAGAAAAATAAGTTACCCAAACGCCGCTCCAGATTATTATGGCAACGTACTAGGCACCCCATCGATCGTCGCTCTTATAATTTTTACAGTAAACAATTAAAGCGGGAATTGGCCACCTTCAAATCACAATCCTTCAACTCCTACCTTACTTCTCTCTCTGTTCATGACAATTCCCTATGGAAGATCACCAACAAAATCCTAAATTCCCATCATATTTCCCATCCCCTCCGTAGAAGCGATGGCTCCTGGGCAGCGTCTGATGAAGATAAAGCTAAGGAATTCGCCAGACACCTCTCCAGAACATTTACCTCTTATCCAGAATCCAACCTCACCCATACCACAACAGTAGAAGAATTCCTTACATCACCCATTCCACTTTCCTTACCCCCTAAAGCAATTAATCCTTCTGAGGTCAAACATCACTTACAACAACTTCCTCTCCGTAAATCTCCTGGATACGACATCCTTACCCCTCAAATCCTTCGACAACTCCCTCCTAAAGCTGTTATATTTCTGACTTATTTATACAATACCATCCTTAGAACCACCCACTTTCCTCTTTTGTGGAAACATTCCACTATTATCCTGTTTCCGAAACCAGGCAAATCTCTCAACACCCCTACGTCATACAGACCAATTAGCCTACTTCCAATCCTCTCCAAAATCTTTGAAAAGATCCTCCTGAAACGAATCCTACCTTTTACAGAATCCCAAAATCTTCCATCCCATCAGTTCGGATTTCGTTAACAACACTCCACAGTCCAACAAGGACTCCGAGTGGTCGATCATATTTCCGCAGCACTGGAAAGCAAGCAATATTGCTTGGGTGCTTTTCTGAACATAGCTCAAGCTTTTGACCGGGTATGGCACGCCGGGCTTCTTTCCAAGCTGAAAACCTATCTACCTCAGTCCTTGTACCTAATCCTCCGCTCCTACCTCTATGATCGTACCTTTCGGGTTCGCTATGGTTCAGAATTTACCGACTCCTACCCAGTTGAAGCCGGTGTTCCTCAAGGTAGCGTCTTGGACCCCGTCCTTTATATCCTTTTTACCGCCGATATCCCTGTCCATCCCAATACCTTCCTTGCAACATTTGCTGATGACACCACCATCCTATCATCCAACTCAGATCCAGAAATAGCATCTTTAAATCTTAAAAGGCACCTCTCCATGATTGAGCACTGGTGTAATAAATGGCGCATCAAAGTAAACGAATCCAAATGCAAACACATTACCTTCACACTCCGCCGCAGATCCTGTCCATCAGTCCACTTTAATTCCATCCAGCTTCCTTTTTCAGACACAGTCCGGTATCTTGGCTTTATCTTAGACCGAAGACTAACGTGGAAACCACATACTAGACTTAAAAGACAAGAACTTAACCGACGATACGGCCAATTATACAGACTACTGACCAGAAAATCTCAACTTTCAATTGACAACAAATTACTGATCTACAAGACAATCCTGAAACCCATTTGGACCTACGGACTTGAACTTTGGGGGGCAGCAAAGTTCTCTAACATCAAACGCATCCAATCCTTTCAATCCAAAGTCCTCCGAACAATAGTCGATGCTCCGTTCTATGTAACCAACAAAACCCTACATCATGACCTTAATATCCCATTTGTCCTTGACCTTATCCCTGAAAAATTTTCAAAATTCCATCAGAACCTTATCAATCATCCAAATCCCCTAGCCCAATCCCTATCTAGTTCCACCCATCCCTACAACCCTCCTCGAAGATTGAAGCGGCAGTGGTCCAGAGATCTTTTATAGTATTTATTTTGGAGTTCTGGCAATGGCCAGATTCTGCACTCAAGACATGAGTGTATGTGGCTAAAGCGCTCTCGCTCAAACTCCACCGGCTTTAGCACCGGTGAGGAGGTTGAGAGACTAGCGCAGGGATTTGGGTTCACCGCCTGATTGTATATATTGTATATAGGTATGATTGTATTTTTATGTTTTTAATTTACTTATATTTCGTTTTTTTTATTGTATATAGTTTTTATTTATTATTATTTAGTTATTGTTTTACTTTGTTAGTTTTTTTTTTTTGTATATACGGTGTGAGTGTGTTCATTTATCAATATAATTATTGTCCCTGTGACAGAATATTGTATGTCTAAATAAACAAATAAAAAAAAAAAGTTATATAACAGAACCGATTCGCGCAGCTCTGATACAGGCTTTTGTGTTCGGATAAAATACTAGAACAGGAAGCTTTCTCCATATAATGGCTTTTGAACATTATTAGAAGAACGAAAAGATTTGGGACAAAGATGGTGGTGCATATTGTATATGGTGTATAGTATTCCATTGGTATTATTGTCTTTGCGGTTGGAAAAATTGGACTATTAGGCCACTTGTCAGACTGAGTCTCCTTACCTATACCAGTACCAGTATATCTGTAGTATGGCAAAGTCTAAAGATTTTTATAATGAGGCATTGACATGTTCTGGTGTTTATCACCCTATGATTTAAGGTAGAAAAATATTGAAGTGTTAAAATCGAAACCAAAGCAATCTATAAAGATGCTGATGGGTTTTACTCGTTGAGTGATTGTGTTTTATAAAAGTTTTCATGTCAATCTAATGTTAAGGTTTTGATGACTATTGGAGCCAATAGCTGGTTTGTTGGATTCTACTTGGAATCATATAGTTCAATATCCTGGACTTATCACAACTTCAGTGTTCCACAACTGCACCCTGCAGGTAATTTACTTTTAAAATAAAAATACCTAGTATCTTTATGCAAGGAACAGTCATTAGGTACTTGTCAGAGTCTTTAAAAAGATAATACGAAATAAGTATTTTTATGGTTCATCCATTTCAATATAGGACAGTTTATTGTTTATATTATTACAGGAATTGAATCATATTATTATTGGGAATGTTCAAGCCATCGTTGAGACGGAACATGATCTGGTACTGCTCTGGGATACCCATTTCAAGGACTGGTGTGTTGCCTATTATTTACGAGCTGGTCTGAAAGCATTGGAAACGTAAATATCTTGATTTGTTTTTAAAGATATTGAAGTTTTCTATTGTGCTCTTATTAAATTAACTAGAAGGCCCGTGCGAAAAATTCGCACAGCATATTGTTATCGAATGCCAAATTAATAAGAAAATGCAACTTATCAAAAGATTAATACACCAAATGTTACTTTATCGATAAATATAATCCACAAAGCAAACAAAAATTAATTTAAATCTTCATTTTTGTTTGGAACCAACATGCATACAAATTTCAGTAAGCTGTATATTTGCTAAAAATTGTCCGATTACGATGATTTTTTTTTTTCATTTTGTAAGGAATTTAGTAACCTTATAGAGGTGCGAAATACAAATCTCGACTCTGTTTTCCCTTCAAAAAATATTTTTACCCACTTTCGTCCTTCGGTCAGTACCAATTGTTTCATCGTCGTACTGATAATATATAGTTATTTTTAAATAAAATTGGCTATAATAGAACTTTCATAATGAATATTAATCGAAAATACGAAAAAATAAATAATAAAATGAAAAATAAAAAATATTGGAAAAATTTCTAATCGTTTTCAATGATGTTCTTTTACCCTTTTGTAAACAATTTAGTAATGTTTTATATAATCATGGGAATAACCAAGGGAAAAATGTGTAATTTTTCAGTTATTCGCAAATAAAGTTTATTTTCTTTCATAACTTGTTTGCCTGAATTTTCTGGGTGATTGGACTATTTTGCCAGCCTGAAGGAGAAGGAAGCCTTCGAAATTGGTGGCTCAATCTTGAGATTTGGTGAAGATATTAACGATGATATGGCTTGCCGATCAAAAACACCATCGATGAATAATATAAACTCTCCCTCTCTCGATCATAGAGACCTCAAGTCGACGAAATGAGACATGTATTCATTGACAGTACTACAATTAATGTAAGGTTGTGTGGATGCGAACCCTATGCCTTGCGTTATCTCGAAAATAGTACGTTTTTCGGCTTAAAAACGCAGGATCCGATAGTTCCAATGGAACTATCAGGGTCTTGCTGTACGCATCAAAATCTTTAAGATCTAATTTGTCCCGTATCGATCTACAGACCTACCACCGTTCCAGTATCGAAGCCTAGCAAAATGTTTGTATCGACTTTATTTATTTTAGAAAGAAAAACAAAAGTGGACAATACGATTCGCTAACCCCCCGTGGAATTCTGAATCCAACGGTACCCCATTCGTGGTATTGATGACAGGAGGTTATATTTGGTACAAAACCGATTTCGAGCCTTACTGTAATTATATATTTACGGATATATATTTTTGCGATCATACAACTCAAAATCATATTGGTTTTTAATATATGTCACTAATAATAGTTCTAATATATTTTCGATATAGTAAATAACACGTCGGCATAAAAATTAGCTCTGAAAATTAATAAGTCCCCTTGGCCTACGTTGTAGTCGTGTTGGGTTGTCGTGTTACTACTAAGAACTTCTGTCACTGGATTAATGTTGGATATCAGTCTTTGGTGAAAGTTATTGTAATTTTCTTATACAGTATCTGAAATTGTTGCGTCCGTCTGTATAATATAATTTGCGATATAGAATGGTGTGTAAATTATTTTCCGTGACAATTTGAATTGTTTGAATGTTGGAAGTTCTAGCAGAACCCCGAAGTTCCATCCCATAAGTCCAAGGTTCAATTAGTTTGTTAGTTGGTTGTTGCTAGAAGGGAGGAATGAAAAAATAAAATAAAATGAAAGGCTTTTCATTAGGAACATTAATAATTCATGAAAGTAATAAATCTTTAAATCATTTCACATTTGTTTAATTTTTTATTTAAGTCAGAATGTCTTTTATAAATTCTTGTATTTTTTTAAAGTTCTTTTCCTTTTTTATTGATACAGTTTTTCTGCAAGTCAGAATGTCTTTTATAAATTCTTGTATTTTTTTAAAGTTCTTTTCCTTTTTTATTGATACAGTTTTTCTTTTGGTGTTACAGTATATATGTTATGATTGTTTCACTCATAGTTCTAATACTTATTGTCCTTAAGTTTGGAAAAATCCATTATTTCTTTATATTAAAAAAAAATATTATTAAGTATGTCAAGGATTAATTATCGCTTCATATGAAACATATTAAACAGTGATGCGGTTGGGAGAGAAGCGCTGGGATCTCTTTGAGCCCTGCCTTGCCTTTCACATGAGAGCGGTAAGGCATGGTTCAGAGTTCCCTAGGCTTAATGTAAATGTAGTACATAGGGATGAATGCGTGTCAAGTATTTTTTTTTCCTTCTTTAATACTTTCAATGTTAATACTTTCAAGTTTTTCTTTTTCTTATTTTAATGTATATATTTTTACTTACATATTTTCTTCTTATTTTAATTTTCTTCTCAATTTATATTTTAATTTGCTTATAAAGTGTACGAATGTAAACATAGTGCCATAACACTCAATGCCCTACATTGTGGCAGATTATATTTTTTTTCTTCAATAAAATTCAGTCAGTCATTGGATACTAGAATAAAAATTCAAGAAAGTGCAGGTTGTCTTTGTTAAAACCACTTAAATGGTTAAACTATGCAAGTTCTATTTTTCATGAATTTATCGAACATCTGCGATTCATCATCAGTAGATAGGAAATGGGGGAGCTGGCACACTTTTTAGGGCAGCCAATCAGAAGCCAGGATTTCAGTGACGTCATCATGGCGGGAAGTTTGAATTTGAATTTGAACTACGGCACGCTGCCTTTTCGGATCTCCAACCAGCCTTAACCACCACGTGGTCGGCCTCCGGCCAGCCTTAACCACCACGTGGTCAGTCACGTGACCCTTAGGCCACAAAGTAAAAGAACGTTTTAATGTAAATATCTGCATAGTCTCCTAAAGATTGATATTTGAAGTGTTATTCTTCAACGCTGATATTAGTATCACATAATTTATCATAAAAATCTTCAATAAGTGGGAGTTCTGTTTCATTTAACTTGTCTGCATCGTCTATATAATCGTATGGGAACACACTTTTTCTCGTAACCAGTGCTAATTCATCATCGCTGTAATATTTGGAAGTTTCCTTGAATTTAGCCATATATAGAGATTGTATAAGGTAATCTAAGCTTCGTGGCATGGATCTATTAGAATCTATGAATCTCAATTTTATTTTACCAACATGTTTTGTGAAGGGTATATATTTTTCTACGTTATTTGGTATTACTTCAACTTCTCCAGGATTATTTCCCAATTCCTTCACTGGGAAATATGCTTCATAATTGCTCAAGTTATGCATTATAACAGGAATAAACGAGGGGTTTTCACGTTTTAAATTACAATTATTACAAGACGGTGATTTTGTAAAGAAACAAAGTAAACCTTCACCATTTTTCAGAAAATCGATTTAGCATCAGCGTATATAAGAGCAAAACTGTTATCGAGTAGTTTATAATGTTATGAAATTCCCCAATATATTAGGCGACGATCATGGTCTCTCTCCAACGTCAATGCTCAAAATTACACACTTAGAGTTAACATTATCATCTAAATGAATCTTTTTTTTTTATCTATGCTAATACTCAAAATTATACACTTTAAGTATTTGCACCTATAATTTGGACAATGTTATCGGACATAGCCAGGAGGAACTTCAAGTTGTCTAAAATGTAAATATCAAGTTTGATTAGCGAGACCATCGGGTATAGCCGGGATGAACTTCAAGTTGTCTAAAATGTAAATATCGAGTTTGATCAGCGAGACCATCGGACATAGCCGAGAAGAACTTCAAGTTGTCTAAAATATAAATATCGAGTTTGATCAGCGAGACCATCGGATATAGTCGGGAAGAACTTCAAATTGTCTAAAATGTAAATATGGAGTTTGATCAGCGAGATCATCGGACATAGCCGGGAAGAACTTCCATATGTGTAAGATGTAAACATTGGAAACTAAAGAGAAAAATGTGAAAAAAAAAATAAAGATAAATATATAAAATTGGAAGGTTACATCTAATAAGGTGAGTACCCGATCTCTCATATTGTTAGATAATAAACTCTAGAAAGACTATGCAGACAGAATGACGATAAAGAAAATGCATGGATTCGAAGAATTCTTGTCAGAAACGTTCAGCTATTATGGCATGGGCACTTGAGGCTTCAACGGATTGAAGTATAAACATGGTTAATGTTAAAAACTATTGTTTAGAAAAATATGTGAAGCAAGTATAATGTCGGTACTTGCCCCTTCAGAAGATAATGTAAACATTGGGAAATAAAATGTGAACAAGCTAGAGAGAGAAATCATAATATGGAGTAGTAAATAAGCTATAGAAATATCCAACTGGACTACGTATCGCAATCTAGTAACTTAGAACGTGACTAATTTTTTTTTCAAATAGTTATAACGGTAAGAGACACGTAAATGTTTGCATCTAGGAACCGTTTCTAAAAATATTGCAATTATCTGAGCTACAAAATAATGAAGTTTTAGCACTCGTTCCAGACGATCAGAGACTTAATATGTATGAAACAGCTTTTCAAAACCGATTGGTATCATTATTCATTAGATCGCCGGATTGTATGGATATGAACTCATTTCTGGAAAGTATTAAAAAACCTCTTAGCGGATAAAATTCGAGATTTACTACATCAACATTGCGCATTTAAAGTAAATTTCCAATTAGAATGTACTTTTACAAATTCTATTGGTGATAAGACTGATAGAGCTTTCAAAACATGAAACAAATGTGTATTTAAAAGTAGCGATTTATTCAGAAAAGTTTCATCAAAAATTGTACCCGAAGCAGAAAAGTATCAATTTAAAAAAAAAAAAAAAAAAAAAATAAAAATAAAAAAAACAAAGCGGGTGGAAGCTAAGTAGAGTTGACGGGATCAGATTGAGAATCAACAAATATTTACCGGTGAGGGGATATACATATCTTCCTCTCCCGGCATCTATAGTTTTGAAGAAAGGTTGCACTAATGTGCGTGATAATGACATGTACTGTTTTAAGTATTCTATTTTAGTGAAATGTGTGGAAAAGGATGCTCAACGTGTTTCTAAGTATAACAATTTAGAACGTTTGAATAATTTTAATTGTATTTCATTCCCAACTTCTCTCAACGAAATAACTAAATTCGAAAAGATAAATGATATACCTATCAATGTTTATGGTCTGGAAGAAAAAAAAAAAAATTATATATCCTATGAAAGTCTGCAAAACAGAATTGAAAGACCATCGGGATCTTTTACTCCTATCTGATGACCAAACTTCCCATTATGTTCACAAAAAGAATTTTGAAAAATTAGTCGGAAATCAAATTAATCATCATGGGCATAAAATAACGATTTGCAAGCGCTGTTTCAAACATTTCGATAACCGGTTTAAGAAACGAGCAAGTGAAAAAAAAAAAACTTGAAGAACATAAAATATATTGCTCTGAAAACGAAACCGATAAGAATAGAGTTACCGACGAAAGATCCTTTTAAACATTAAGAAAGTTATATGAAATATAAACATTAGGAAGGTTACACGGGAAAAATGACGGTGGTCACGTGATTGATCACGTGGCACTGAAAAGGTAAACATTGAGAAGGTTATACAAAAGATTAATATTAGGAAGGTTATAATATAAAAGATAAACATTAGGAAGGTTACAGAAAAAATAGGGTATGGTCACGTTACCGATCACGTGACTATGAAAAATGTAAACATTAAAGAGGTTATATAAAATATAAACATTAGGAAGGTTACTGGGAAAAATGGGGGTATGGTCACGTGACTGATCACGTGACAGTGAAAATGTAAAACAATAAGAAGGTTATACAAAAGATAAACATTAGGAAGGTTATAGAAAAAACAAAATGGCGAACAACGCCCTAAGTTTCTCAAATTGCAGTAAAAACAAAATGGCGGCCGGGCATATTCAGTCCTTTATAGAGGAGTGGGGGGAAAATGTGGAGGTCGCACGACCGAAAAGGGTCTGATGACGTCATACAAGAAGAAAACCTCATATCTGAAAACAAGATGGCGGCCGGGCACACTCAGTCTCTGAGAGAGGAGTGAGGAGTAAAGGTGGGTGGCACACGATCAAAAAGGGTCTCATGACGTCATACAAGAAGAAAACCTCGTATCAGAAAACAAGATGGCGGCCGGGCACACTCAGCCTCCATGGGTAGAGTGAGGAGTAAAGGTGGGAGGTATACGATCAAAAAAGGTCTCGTGACGTCATACAAGAAGAAAACCTCGTATCAGAAAAAAAGATGGCGGCCGGCCACACTCAGCCTCCAAAGGAAGAGTGGAGGGGATGTAGAGGTCGCACAATCGAAAAGAGTCTCATGATGTCATACAAGAAGAAAACCTCGTATCAGAAAACAAGATGGCGGCCGGGTACTCTCAGCCTCCGAGGGAAGAGTGGGGGGAAAATGTAGAGGTCGCACGATCGAAAAGAGTCTCATGACGTCATACAAGAAGAAAACCTCGTATCAGAAAACAAAATGGCGGCCGAGCACGCTCAGCCTCCGAGGGAAGAGTGAGGACTAAAGGTGGGAGGTACACGATCAAAAAGGGTCTCATGACGTCATACAAGAAGAAAACCTGGTATCAGAAAACAAGATGGCGGCCGGGCACACTCAGCCTCTTTCAGAGGAGTGGGGGGAAAATGTGGAGGTCGCACGATCGAAAAGGGGCGTGGCTAATGGTCACGTGACTGATCACGTGACTAAAAAGGGGCGTGGCTAGGTGGTTAAGATAGGGATAAAATAAAAGTGGGCGTGGCCTAAGGGTCACGTGACTGACCACTGGTGGTTAAGGCTGACAGGACGGCCGACCACGTGGTGGTTAAGGCTGGCCGGACCGCCGACCACGTGGTACTTAAGGCTGGGTGGAGGGGATGGAGCAATCGGTGTGCCAGCTCCCCCATTTCCTATCTACTATCATCATCATCATCTGTTTTTTTGTACCATTCGTCAATAGGACTACAGATGACAAACTTCTGGAATAACTATCTTGTTTTATCTAATTTAAGTCCATATTAATTTGGTTGAGATATGACACAGAATAAGAATTTCTGCTTTTTGAGTATTTTAAAACTCGCAGAAATAGAAATGCTTCCTCACTACCGAAGGTAGGGAAGCATTGCGTTCGAGAGGTTAAAATATATTTTGTGCTCAGAAACGAAAATATGCACTTGTGATTTGCATTTCAGACATCAAGCAAAAAATTTGGTTCGGATTTTTTATGTCTGTAGTCAAATCGATGGCATATCACCTAGTAGTACCGTTCATCCGATTTTCATGAAAGGGATTATCCGGATTGGTGCCTAGATGGTCCCCTATCAATTTCATCAAATTCCATCCAGCACTTCCGCTTACGCACTCGCAAACGTATTTTTTTAGATATGCCAATATTTCAGGAAGGACTCGTTCGTTTTGGCTCGAAATTAGATAAAAATTGTTGAATTCTGTCCACTAATTTCTCGGATATATGCGCAAACGTGTTTTCCTTGATACGTCTATATCTATAAAACCGCATGTTAGATTTGGCTCAAATTTAGATGGAAGTTAGGGATTGGCAAACAGATAATCAATTAGGTATGAATTTTATGAAATTATATCTACTTCTCCAAGAAAAAATACTTTCTTTTTAGGATCAGCAAACGAATTATTTAGCAAGCCTATAGTTTCAAAACTGTGCTTTCAATTTGACCCAAACTTGGAGGAAATTTGGAGAATAGTATAGAAATTTCCTAATATGAATTTCATTGAATTCTATTTAATAATTAAAATTAATATAAATAATTGTTAACAATATAATGGCAGTGAAATGTGAAAGTCATATGGAGTGGGAGTTAGGTTATGACAATATTTTTTATGGGGTTATAAAATTTTAGATTTTATTCAAAGAGTTAATTTATACTGTGTTGTTTCGTTAATTACAAACGTTACTTAGATCTCTTGTAATTTTCAATAAATTTAAATTAATTTTTACCCTGAGTTTGTAAAAAAGAAAATCTTATTTTTGATTGTGTTTATTTCTATTGAAGTTCTACCAAATCGAGTTTATGTGTGATTTTTACATATATTTTTATATTCCAGGTAAAATAGTTTTGTTCCGACTGAAAAAAAGTTTTGGTCTCGTTAACTCTGAAAAAACAAAAAGTTTAGTTTTTCTTATTTTTTTTTTACTTTCCTGTAAAACACTCAATGTTTACACACGACTTTTTGCACTAACAGTAGTGATTTTCATGTTCAGTACTCACTCGATTTTTTTTTCAATCCCGAGTAATCAATCTGCATATGCGGAACTTTTTCGCATTTTAGTATTTGCTGATGAACAAAGCTTATGAATAACAAACCCGTATATATTAAGTGATTACTGAATTTCCGGAAAGGGCTTCTCTCAGAGGTTTTATTCTCATACGAAAAAATTTAGACCTTGTAATATAGATATTTTTTAGCCAATGCAAACGGTGAGGAAGCTATACTGACCTTCTTTGGCAGACTTTTATTTTTTTAACGTGAGATTAATTACTCAAATATATTGAAAAAGTATTGTAGTGCATCATTGCTTTTTGAAGGGATCTCGGTAATGATAATTAATCATTATTATATTAAGTGGCCAACTAAATGATCCTAATTTTAATAATTTACGTTTTCATCAAAGTAATAAGCAATGGTGGATTTACGACCTGTTGGTAGTGAAAAGTGTGGGAACTTTTAGTCTATACAACTACTTTGACAAGGGATATATTTTATTAACTTTTACAGACAAGAAGAAGAAGAAGAAAGTGTGTTTGAAGAAGAAGAATTGGAAATAGAGGGATTGGCAGCTCTTGATTCTATTTTAAATCTTATTGTTTCACGTTCGAGGGATATTAGCCATGACCGGCTACAATTCAGCAAACCGTCAGATCTGGCTACTATTCCCCACGTGATATATTTAGGTAATGATATAGAATCATAATATACACTGTTATGAATTATCATAGTGCATACACTATAGGGTATCGCATTCGAATACATTAATAATAACATTGTTATCAAAATCTGATTATTACCTCCTCTTATATCATATCATAAAAAAAAAAAAAAAACTGTATAATATCTTTTATACCGAAGGAACAGTTAATCATTATATAAAACTTCCTCCAGAACTCCATCAATGATTATAAATATTTTCAAACAATTCGGACTAAATAATTCCAATGAACTATGGATACGATCATCAAATAGTGAACAGTGTGGAAAAGGCCTTTATTGTTAAATATTCTTTGCTATGTACAGATAATAGACCACAACAAGAAAAAAAAGTTAATGAATCCACGAAATATCTGATTCAGCTATTCATGACTATACAATCCATCGAAATTGATGGTGACTTGCTGCAGTAGCCAAGTTCCAAGTTATGAATTATAAGTGGTACCAAGACTCACCGTAGTCTTAATAAAATTTTTGATGAAATCAATTAACTACCAAACAAAAAAAAACTGACCATAATCTCATTTCTTCTACTCTTCCCCATCCCATGGAAAAGCTGCCCCCTTTCTCTTCTTAATGCCCCTCAACCATCTCTCTATAAAATTATATAAACGTATATAATTTAGGAGTAAATGAAACTAATGCGAAGAACATTGCGGATTTCGTTACATTTGAATTGTATTTTATTATGGATGTAATTAAGTTGCTCGATTAATAAGCTTTTGATAATCCTCAAGAATCGTCCATTTCGAGACTTCCCTCGGTAAGCTTCGAGACTCCGAGACTTCGAGACTCCGCGGTAAGCTGCATCGTTTTGGTCTTGGAAAGGATCCGTATTCCCTGTGCCCTAGTTGACGAGACGGTTGGGTATTCCATGAGCTTTGAGGCGTTGTGGTACCAAAATGCTGAGGAAAGCTGGACTCTAGGTTCTTTCAGAAAATGGTTTTTCTTATCAGGCTAAGAAAACTATATCTAATTCAAATATTTCTTTTGTAATGATGAAAAACCGCTAGTTACACTTCCCTAAGGTTGGAATTGAATCTGAGATAGAAGACTAAACCACAATTATCTTAATTTTTGTTTTTTAAATTCTTCTTCATTAACTGAAGTTTCAGAACTTATTACGCTGATTCTTCCATTTTATCCTTCTTTCTCCAATTAATAGGTATACAACATGGTAGTGTTTTAATCTGAGGACTTTTGCTTCATCATCATACAGCAATTCTCTTTTCTCACCAAAACCCAAAAATTGCATCTAATCTGAAAGAACCATTTTCTTACTTAATCTCGAAAAGTGGTTTCACGAAGGAAAAATCATAATAAATGCCTCCATGTCAGCAATTCTTTATGGAAAACTGCATGTCTTGCATTATAAATTGGTATGTAACAGTATAATGCAATATAAATTTATAATAGTCTTGTACCTTAAATGAATCTTCCCACAGAATCGTTATCAACGTGCGTTTCTGTCTATGTGAGGGATTCTTAAACTCGGATATGCGTAGGGTAGGTTTACTACGTCTATGTGAGGGATTCTTAAACTCGGATATGTGTAAGGTAGGTTTACTACGTCTATGGAATATTATATAAAATCCAGAAGCCATAAAATCAGGAAATGTGAAAAGATAATCTCTGGGAATACCATTGAACAGTGGAATCGCCGGTAGGTGATAATCTAGAATGGTTTAAGAAAACATTCTCTACAACCGGTCACGTTCATTTGTGGGTTCTTTTGGACTACTGGATTTTGCAATTGCTCACAGAGCTTGAGCGATTCCGCGGTAAGCTGCATCGTTTTGTTCTTGGAAAGGATCCGTATTCCCTGTGCCCTAGTTGACGAGACGGTTGGGTATTCTATGAGCTTTGAGGCGTTGTGGTACCAAAATGCTGAGGAAAGCTGGACTCTAGGTTCTTTCAGAAAATGGTTTTTCTTATCAGGCTAAGAAAACTATATCTAATTCAAATATTTCTTTTGTAATGATGAAAAACCGCAGTCGGCTAAGCCAATTTTAAAATTAAAAGAAATAGACTTTTTTCTTGGCGACCAACGGATTAATATGAAGAAGAAAAAGAAGGGGTGATGGAAACTAACCCAATTTAGATTAGTAACATAAAAATCTTGCCAATAAAGCAAGTCTCTGTCTACAATTAACTAGTTATGTACAATCCAGTACGTGTTATTAGAAATTATATACGTTGTCTCGTATCGGGCAAAAGATTCACCTGGAACATACAAAAAAATTAAAAAGACAAGGACTGCTAAGACGATACAATCAATATTCACATCTCCTGGATTGCGAATCCTCGCTTAACATATTTAAGAAACAAACAATCTACATTATTAAACTAAGACCTATTTTCATATGCTGGCAGACCAAACAATCGGTGGGGTCTGCCCAAATAAAAAACGCAATCAGTTCTCCAGTATTTTTTTACGATTTTGTCAATTAAGATTATAAATATCAACGAACTTTTGCTTGACTACCTACGGATTAATTGTATAATAAAACCTTTAGTTATTTTTTCAGTATTTTATTATGTATATCGATCGCATGATTCCATTGATTTATAGAGTTGTAAAGATAGACATAAATTTTATAATCATGTAATAAATTCAATTTTTAGTTTTATAATTAACTTTATTATTGCCTAATTAGGTAACTAGTTTATTGGAATACAATCGGTCAGAAAATCTGATTTATTTTGTTTTCTTCTTTTATTTAAATAGAGAACTATTGGGAGGTTTTTACTGAGAAGGTAAAAATCATTCTAGAAGTACTGGAGTCAGAGGCTAGAAAACTGATCTGCATAAAAAAATTTTTATCATCAATTAAAACTGATGAGCGTTTCTTGTTTGGAGAATGGGCTAAAAATGCTGGGTATGGAGAAGACGGTGAGGTAAGCTGATAATCTGACAGATACAAACATTCAGTTATCCATCCTCTTTATAATGAGCTTTTATTTATAATTTGTATTTCATATTATTAATCCTTGTTGATGTTTTCACTTCTATTTTTTGAAAATTTCAATTGCTACAAAAATTCGTATTTAACAGTTTTTTAAGATGTGGAAAACGGATATTAACTTTGTTTCTGCTAGAAATAAATATAATATTTATTTTATTGCATTTTTTATTTTTATTTAATTCATTTTTCATATGTTTTTAAATATTTTTCGTTTATTATTCTGACTATTCATTATTAGTTTTTGGCTGTTTATTATTTTTTTTCTCTCTTCTCAGGAGTTTCTGAACTGAAACATAAATAACTGACTCACAGGCGTTGATGACCCTAGGGTTTTACGCCTTAAAGCCCAAACAAACTTTCTTCTTCTCCAATATTCTTTTCTACCTTTCGATGTAGAGATTTTTGTACAAGGATTTCCATCTATCTCTGCCGAGAGCTGCTCTCCTGGCTTCCGGCCATCCAATTCCTCAGTCTTTAAAAATATTCTTGAGATTATCTTTCCAAGTAATTCTTGGTATTCCTAGGTCGTTTTCCCGCTGGTTTAGCCTCCATAATTTTGTTTGCTGAACGGCGGTCATCCATCCTCATTACATGACCGAGCCATCGAAGCTGCCCTTTCTCTATTATCTGGGTGAGGGGTTAAGTTTTTAGTGTATTTTGTTTAGTTGTGTTACATACCCGGTCTCTTATGGTCTTTCCCTCTATATTCCTAAGATGCCAAAAAAAAAAAAATGATATTGTCATATCACTTAATATGTCCAAATCCATTTTATCCTCACTGCAGCGAAACTTGTATTATCGTGATTTTTACCATTGCCCTACTAGAATGACTTTAAACAATAAAATCAATTTGTCAAAAAGGAATGTATTTTTTTTAGTTAAAAATTATTTTTACATCTTTGAAAAAAGATCATTTTAATTTATATAGTGTTTAAATACAATTAAAAGGATTAATTAACAGCATATATAACTCCGGAAACCGACAAAAAAAAGTGAGGAAAATTCCAATAAAAAAGTTTAGTAAAACATTATTTGTCTTTTAGATTAATAAATTATTAATTATTTATTTATCTAAGTAATAAGTTACTACACAATTAAAAAATAAACTTGTAAAAAAAGGATTATAATCGAAAATCTCTGAATATGTTCAACTCCCTGACATCATCACTGCTACTGCATACAATGTTGCTGATATTCTATTCTAAGTTTTCTCAAAGTTTTATTAAAAAGATTCTGAAGGTGAATAAAAAGTCTGAACCGAAAGGTGCAAAAAATTATTTATCGCTCTCTGTGACAATGAAGCCAGTACCCGTTATTATTAAAACTATCTCTCAATTTTCGACGTATGCCATAAATTTTACCTATATTACTTGAATTTCTTTTGTTTACTAATTCTTCTGTTTCTAATTACACCTATGTATAAACAAAGGTTTAATGCCATTTTCCATTAAATAATTCACTATCGATATTTTGACTACCTAGATAGACTGGGACGGCCCACTGTGCGGCGGTGTTGTGTTTGGCTGTGGTATGTTTATTTTTATCACCAATATACATATTGTTTAATGAGGTATCATTCGAAATGGAATTTTATGGAGGAGTGAGATCCCAAATTTAGTTTTCTTACTTATTATATCTTCACAAACTTCAATTAAAGTCATTGAAAACATAGGGTGGTTTCAAACCTCAGATGGTTTCAAAGTCAACGAATCAATACGGATGAATTGAGCATAGATTTTAACACGACCATCCAGGCTTGGTATAGTTCAACAAATCTCTGTGTTTTTAAAATCAAAATTATCTCTTTTTCGAGATTTATCGTAATTCTTGCCGAAGAGCTCTTAGGTGCCATACTTGCTATGGGATACTTATCACGTGTTTAGGTTTTAAAATAAATTATTGCTTTTTATTTTAGTCTTTGATGAAGTAAAAATCTATTGAAAAGTAAGAAGGAAGGGAATGACTATGACCACGGGCACTTGGAATAATATAGAAAGAAACTTCTTGATAAATTTAATAATTAAACAAAAATCCAGGCAAACAAAAATATATACAGGCATACTCTCAGTAATCTACTCAGTAATACTCTTAATCAGAGAACTACAAAAATTGAGCTCTAATGCGCGAAACAAATGTCTTGAGTAGTGTGAACACATCAGTTATGGACAGGGGGTCTAGTGATAGACAGGTTGGACTTTAAATATAAATAGTAAGCTTCCTTGTTACTTTAAAGGCTCTAGTTTTTTTTCTAGATTGAAGGACAATGCCCTCTATTGACAACTGTGTGAACAAAGTTTCCAAAAGTAAATTTTAAAATGCCTCATCATTGTTGTTTCTATAATGTTCTTAAGATCAGTATGTTTCATACCTTTCTACTAATAGTTTTGCTTAGAAGAAGTTGAACATTTATGTTATCTTATCTTTATCGTTATATTTATGGTTAAATAAAGATTTCAGAATTTTTCTGAGGTGTCTATTACTGGTACTAACCTCCTGTAAATTACTAGAACAATTGAATTCGGGGTGTCCATCACTAGTGCATAAATTTGTTGTTTTTTTAATCGAGATTTTATCTGCTTAACCGATTTTTTTTTTCAATTTTAAAGTGTTAAATAAAAAAAGGAGGCTCTAGAGATTCTAAATGTCCTAAGGAGAAGTTTATAACTATAATAAATACGGCGGCATAAGCCAAAAACGACAAAAATTTCCTTAGCTATGTCCATCACTGGTGCGCTTACCCTAAATGATTCGTATAAGTTAAAGGATAGCGGTACCTTATTGCTTAATTATTAAACTGGAGGAATAACCGAATATCCGCTAGTGGATCCAGGATTTAATTTTTGGGGAGGGGAGGGAGGCTTCAGCCGAAAGCTTTTTTTTTCATATATATATATATATATATATATATATATATATATATATATATAATGATAATTAATTTGAAAAAAAGAAAGAAAGAAATCTCCTATATGAAATGTTGTTTAAGTGGGGCTTTAAGTCCTATTAAATGTAATTACACGAACAAGAATACTTTAATAGATAGTTTTTAATATTTTTTTTCTGTAAAACATGGTTATATTTTACCATTTTGGGGGAGGGAAGAGGAGGGGCTTCAGCCCGAAAGCCCCCCGTAGATCCACCTGTGGGGATATCTGATGGGATAATCTTATCACTTATAAAGTTAATTGTTAATTTCAATTTTTCGCAACGAAGAAACTTTATTGATAATATTGTATTATTTATACAAATAAACATTTTTGGCTTATTTTGTTTTTGTACCGAATGCATCATGGAGAAGGATAGCAATCTAATGCCAAAGTAGTCGCTGGTGTATATTAATATAGATTAATACAATTAGCATCATTAGCATTTAAAATTTTATTGAGATTATTATATTCAAATATGTTGGTATTGATACCTAGAGAAATGGTTTATTTTATGATATATTTTTTTTTATCCTATGCCAGCAAAGGTTTATCAGATCGGCTCAAATGACGATTTACTATATAAGAGAGCTGAGAAAATTAATGATGCAAACTGTGGAACTTTGGGATGACCTTACAGACAGGCTCCAGGGAATAAAATATCTAATCGAACTCTTACATTACAAACAAAAAACTCAAATTGCAGCCATTTTTCAGGTATTCGTTCACAAAATATTATTTTTATTATTATTAAAATATATTTTTTCAAGGTTAATCTTTAAAATTTGATATTGATTCCTCGATTTTTCTTCTGTTCTAAGGCAACTGACCTTACTTTTTTATCTTTAGATATTTTATTGAATATTTAATAGTTGACCGTTGCATTATAAAGGAAGGAGATGGTCCGGGGTTGCGGTCATAAAAAGGCTAAATAGTGGTAAAAGTATTTTATTGAAAGCCAACGTTTCGACCCGACTTTGCAGGTCTTCTTCAGGGCTAGAACGGACAAGATACAAAAAGATGGAGAATTGTGGCAATTACATAATATTTAGACATAATTTATAAACAATGTGAATAAGCTTATTAGAATTATAAACAGTAAGTACAATAAAATATGGACTAATTAAGCTGAGTAACAAGATCCTAAAATAAAGTAAATAGATGCTAACAATTGTTCTAGTGTAATATATAACAAATGAAAATGTGAGTATAATTCTACAAAATCTACAGGAGAAATCTAATCTTATTTTTTCTCCTGTAGATTTTGTAGAATTATACTCACATTTTCATTTGTTATATATTACACTAGAACAATTGTTAGCATCTATTTACTTTATTTTAGGATCTTTTTACTCAGTTTACTTAGTCCATATTTTATTGTACTTACTGTTTATAATTCTAATAAGCTTATTCACATTGTTTATAAATTATGTCTAAATATTATGTAATTGCCACAATTCTCTATCTTTTTGTATCTTGTCCGTTCTAGCCCTGATGAAGACCTGCAAAGTCGGGTCGAAACGTTGGCTTTCAATAAAATACTTTTACCACTATTTAGCCTTTTTATGACCGCAACCCCGGACCATCTCCTTCCTTTAGATATTTTATGTTCTTCTATTCTTTTCTATACTACTGAAACAAAAACTTTTGCATTTATTGTACAGTTGATTACGCTGAATCTTCTGAAGTATTTATTATTAAGCTCATAATCACAAAAACTTCGTTAACTGCTTTAGGTACAAATCGGTTTCAAGAAAATATAGATGTTTTGGACCGGATGGATTTTAGTCAATTGGTATCACTAGGTTCCCTAATTGTTACCTCTGGTTTATTTTCTATGTTTCCGATCATTTAGGGAGTCGATACACACAGTATATATCACAAGTGGGTAAATTATGGTTTCTAAATGTTTTTTATAATACTCATATAATATAACGCTATAACTAATTAATATTTAATTATTTAAGATACGGAAATTCGAAAATTAATGTAATTTAGTTGAATATATGAATGTGGTTGTGGGTATTTAGAGATAGATAGCAACAGTAAAATATAAAGAATTGTTGCATTCTCTAATGATAAAAAAGTTTCCCACCTATGGCTAGTGTTGCTCAAATGCGGGACCGAGACGGGTCTTGGTCCTGCAAACTCTATCATGGACTAGGTCTTGGTCTTGCGCAAGAGTCTCGCAACAGTCTTGCAGTTACCTATTAGCTTATTACTAGAGAGATATTACTGTAATTTTTTAGATAGGAGAAACCTAACTAAGTCTGATTGGAAAATTAGAAGAGTTAAATCCAAAAGTATATTGGTTACACCAATTCTTAACATATAGTAACTAAAATTGTCAACTATTAGTAACTATTTCGCCTCCATTTCTGTTCAAAAAACGATTTTTTTTTACCAATCTTGGTCTTGGTATTGCAACAGATAGGCGGTGCTGGTCTTCAAGACCAAGACCGATTTTGGGCAACACTACCTATGGGGTATACCAGAACGAAATCTTTTTTATATTTTACTGTAATTATTTTTTGTAATAACTAAATACAGACCCATGTACCTATAATCAAATTAATTTTCAAATTTCTGCAACATAAATAATTTAATATTAATTAATTCTTGAGCTAGATGAAATTGCGCGAAAAATAACGAAAACCGCGTAGCGATTCAAGGGACGCACATAGTTCACGGAGACCACTTGCCACACGTTCCCCACTTGTGTACCATTTTTCATCCATATCTTTTCCATTTACGTTCCGTTAAATTTTAGTGCGGTCACATTAAACATACTCATGAGTTTCATTTCATTACATACGTTTTTCCATTTACATGGCCGAAATACTCTTTGGTGAAAAATTAAAACAACTGCCATTGCATACTATGAAGTAACTAAATTGTAAAAAAAAATAGTCTATCTGTAAAAAATATGTTTCTTCAGAGCGGATTGTTTGAAAAGAAAATGGAAACGGGAAGAATATTGAGTACAAAAACATTAATTTACTCTTAATAATATTTTATGTGAACGGAAGAGGTACGTTTAATGTGAGTCGACCTTAATAAGATCCTCAGTTAACGAATCACAGGCAGTGAGGACTTTATAAGTAGCACTTTTATTTATAAAGTCTGTTACAAATGGCATCTTAACAATTGAATAATAATATAAATATATGGGTTGACTACAAGAGTTCACTCCAGGTCTCCTACAAGATTATGACAACAGGATTATGGATCAAGGTCTCCTGGCAAGTGTCTGACTTCAAGAATTTAACTGCATGAGCGTTTAGTCCATATGACCATGGGGGTAATATATCCTGGAAAAGTAGGATGAGGGAAGTTGGAAGAGGGCCTCAAAGGAAGTTATCAATAATTGATATTATTAAGAATAATAATAATAATATGAGGCATGTGAGAAAGGGCTGAGGTTATTAACTATTTAGAATTAATATCCTTATCCTTTCATAGCGCGTGCTCATTACCGCGTATGGGGAGCGTCCCACGGGTGGCGGATGTGGGGATGGTCGGTGGAAATTCCTTGGAAGTTCCTCCCGGCTAAGTCCGATGGACTCGCTGACCAACAATGAGAGGGGCCCTCCAGACTTGCTGGAGGGAGGGGACCTCCAGACTTGCTGGAGGTAGGGGCCCACCAGACTTGCTGGAGGGTGTGACGTAGGATTGAACGCCCTACTCACATATCTTTAGTTCACCAAACACCACAAATAGTCATGGATCTCTCTAAGGTAAAACGCTCATTATCCGGAGGTAAACTAGTCCCCCGTTCGGGTCTCCGGGTGGGGACTGCTTTAGGGGATTCATGGCGCAAGTTGAAATATAGGGATTTAAATATTGGTACGTGGAACGTAAGGAGTTTAAACACAGCAGGGGGGCTAAAATCGGTCGCGAATGAGGTAAATGGGTACAATTTGGATATCGTGGCTCTGCAAGAGGTTCGCTGGCCAGGGGAGGGCTCGATGAGGGAAGGAAAGTACACTATTTGGTGCGGAGGAAGCGGGAATCATTGTTTGGGTACCGGGTTTCTAATTAGGAGTAGATTACTATCCGCTTTGAGGGACGTACAATTCTTTAGTGATAGAATTTCGGTAGCTACATTTCAGGGACGTTGGTTTAAAATCGCATTAATAAACATACATTGTCCGACCGAAGACAGTGACGATGAAGTCAAAAGTGAATTTTACGATAAACTCGAATGGGTTTATGATAAACTACCGCGAAACTACATGAAAATAATTATAGGTGACGCGAACGCAAAGATAGGAAGGGAAGAAGTTTATATTCCGACGATTGGTAAAGAAAGCTTGCACGAATATAGTAATGATAATGGGATCCGTCTGATAAACTTTGCCATCTCGAAAAACCTGATAATTAGAAGTACGACGTTTAAACATAAGGATATTCATAAATATACTTGGACATCACCAGATTCGCAAATACGAAATCAAATCGACCATGTCTTGATACAACATAGCTGGCAAAGCAGTATAATTAATGTACGGTGTTATCGCGGAGCAGAATGTGGGTCGGATCATGAATTAGTAATAGCGAAACTCCGACAAAAACTTAAAATAAAAAAGAGAAAAGAAAACCGTATCGATTTTGAGAATTTTAATTTGGACAAATTAAAAAATCCATCAATTAGAACCCAATTCGAGGTAGATGTTAAGAATAGGTTTGAAGCTTTAGAGCTTCCTGACGAGGACCACGAGGATATTGACAAGTTATGGGTAGAGATCAGGGATAATATTAAAGCGGTCGGTAACTCGTGTCTAGGAAAAAAGGAAAATAAGAATAACAAACCGTGGTTTGATGAAGATTGCTTAAACATGTGCGAAAAACGAAAAGCCGCTAAATTAAAAGCTCTAAATAATCCTAGCGAAGACAATCTGGAATACTTCCGAACCTCAAAGAACGAAACGACAAAATTACTCAAAAATAAAAAAAGGGAGTATCTTAAAAATAAAATAATTGAAATAGAATCGAAAATAACGTAAGAGACATGTACAAAGGTATAAACAGATCACGTAAATGTGTAGGGTCTGTAACATCTGGAATTAGGGATGATAATAACAAAATTCTGACCGATCCGGTTGACATACTGAATAAATTTAAGGACCACTTTGACAATATTTTAAATACGGGAAATTATGATCTGTGTCCTCCTTCTGAGTACCAGAGTGCTGAACCGTTGATAGAAGGACCGAGTAAAGAGGAAGTTGAATTAGCTATCGGAAAATTAAAATCTTATAAAGCAGTGGGAACCGACAATATTCCCACTGAACTAATTAAGGCATGCGGGGAAGCTGGAGTTTCTAAAATACATCGGTTGGTTAAAAAGATCTGGGTGAATGAGAAATTATCTGAAGAATGGAAAGAATCTATTCTTATTCCGATTCACAAAAAGGGCCCGAGGACGGATTGTAATAACTATCGAGGAATTTCAATCCTTCCGATATGTTATAAAATATTTACTTTAATCTTAACCAGTAGAATCACGGAATACGCCGAGGAAATTATCGGAGACTACCAATGCGGATTTAGACGGAATCGTTCGACTATTGATCAAATATTTTCTTTACGGCAAATATTAGAGAAAAAATTGGAGTACAACGGTATTGTTCACCAGCTGTATATAGATTTTAAAAAGGCTTACGATTCTATTGACCGCCAGAAACTGTATAATATTCTAATCGAGCAGGGGATTCCTAAAAAATTAGTAAATCTAGTCAGGATGTGCTTGACGAAGACACTCAATAAAGTCAGAATCGGTAATAATCTGTCCGAAAAATTTGAGGTTCGTTCGGCTTTAAAACAGGGAGATTCCCTTTCGCCTTTCCTGTTCAATTTGGCATTAGAACATACCATTAGGGAGGTAATGCGTACCGAGAAAGGGTTGGATCTGGGTGGGACAACATCCGTGCTGGGCTATGCGGATGATCTGGTACTGTTAAGTGAAGATCTTGAAACTATAAAACTAAATACGACAACGTTAATGAAAGCCGGTAAAGAACTAGGACTCGAAATAAACGTGGATAAAACAAAATATATGGTTAGCTGCAAAAATGGCTAAAAATTGTAAAGTTGTTGGGTTTAGTAACGAGAGAATTCCTAAAAGGCTAATATTTGCTGTGCCGAATAGTAAGCGTCCGAGGGGTAGACCGAAGCGAAGGTGGGAAGATTGCATTAAAGCCGATCTGAAGGGACTGGGTTTGGACGGCGAACGATGGAGGGAGGTGTGCAATAAGCGATTGGTTGTGTCGGCATCGAACCTTCGGGTTCGCTAAGCCTTTTTATTTATTTATCCTTATCCTTAAGTATTGATATGAAGTCCGTGAGAAAGGGACCTTTTGCTGAAATCTGTTATTGCTCCCTAAGTCTTGATAATGGGTCTTGTGTCCAGTCTGTGCCTTCTAGATAACTATTTCTATATATTTATATTGATATTTATAGCTTTGTCCTTCGAGTTATGCGGAATAGTCGATTCCATGATTCACCAATCGGCACAGTGAATAAACTAAATTATTAAAATAAAGGTTAAATCAAAATTATTATTATTATTCGTTAAGGATTAAGTACATTCCACAACTAATAAAGAACATGCATTTTGTAAGTCAACGGATGCATCGTAAGGATTTATAATAGTTTATTAAATTTTGCATATATCTGTGGCCCGAAGGTAATGGACATCGTATTCATTTTTTATTTTCACTTACCTATATATATATATATATATATATATATATATATATATATATATATATATATATATATATATATATATATATATATATATATATATATATAATATATAGTAAGGGAAAGTATAGCGATCGTTAAAATTTTCGGATTTCAACGGAAATACACGTTTTGAGATCCCTTGAGTCGAAATAACTAAGTCCCACAAAATGGTCTATATGTCTGTTTGCCTGTGTGTGTGTATGTTAACAGTCTAGCTCAAAAACGAAAAGAAAAAACTGATATAACGTATTTAACATAGGTGTATGCACGAGATGTTACAGCTACTTTTTCCTGGAAATCGGTTAGCCGGAAGTACTTTATATGAATGATAATACATATTTTTACGGTTTTCGCAAAAACGGATCTAACGATTTTGATTAAACTCGGTGTATCATTGTACAATTAAGTGGTATTTAATACCATCCCCATTGATGTCATTTTACAGGGTTTAAATGTTCAACATGTCTTTCTCTAAAGTACCGTTAATTTGGTTTATTTCAAATAATTAATTATCTCTGATTATTAATAGATATGAAAAAAGGTTAAATATAACTTTTGAAAGAATTTGATATTTAAATAAAGCAGAGGTTTTAAATACCAGTGAAGTGGCTGAGGGAGAAGTGTAGGGATCTCCTAAGCCTCGCTTTTCCCTCCAAATGTGGGGGGACAAGATTGGTTCGGAGATCACCTGGCTCATCGGAGATCAAATAGTGTATATAGGTATGTTTGTATCTAAGATGTTTGTTTTACTTTTATTTCTATATTTATTTACTTATATATATATATATATATATATATATATATATATATTATATATATATATATATATATATATATATATATTTTCTCTTTTGTTCGTTTTTCTTATTCTTTTGTTATTACTTTATTTACTTATATTTCTGCATATGCGGTATGAATGTACTCTCTGAACTCTATTATAAGTGTCCTTAACTGTGACAGATTGTAATATTTCTCAATAAAATGTTTAACTATTAAAAAAATTAAGCAGAAAAAAAATGTTCATCCAGGTCGAAAATGAATCTCCCGAAAAACTAGTCAAAAGGTATATGTATAATATATCGTTGGAAAATGGAGAGTTTTTGAAAAAAAAAAAATCTAATATAGAAGGTCGTAGAATTTAATGGAGTGTGACAAAAAATTATAAATAATAATTTTTGAAAACTTTATTTAACGGAAATCACACGTTTTAAAGAAAATTAAAAAAAATTTACTAATCAAATGTAAACTTTAAAAATAATTTTTAAGTTTGAAAAAGTATTTAAAATCCACCTAATCTAGGCAACGAAGGTATAATACATCGTTGGAAAGCGGCGAATTTAAAAAATAATAATATTTAACATGGAAAGTTGTAGTAGGTAATGGAGAGTGGCGAAAAAACTGTAAATAATAATTTATGAAAATTAACATTATTTAACGTAAATCATGTGTTTTCAAAGAAATTAAATGAATGAAATTTCATTATTTTTCATTAAATGAAAACTTTCAAATTATTTTTTTTTAGTTTGAAAAAAAGTATTTAAAATCCGCAGGTTCAAGGCAATAATATTGTTTAAGATTCTATTTCATAGTACTTGTGTGAAAAACGTATTTAATGGATATGTTTATAGCCTTAAATATATGTACAGTGCTTTTATTATTCTAGATCTGATATTATATTTAAATAATTAGGTATCTATCGTACGTTTATTCCGAAAAATCGTCATGTAACGTTTTAGAATATAAAATTGGTGAATAATTTGATGAATTTTCCCTTTGTGATATCCCAACATTATCTACTTACAATCAGTATGACAACTTTTGACCTATCCATGACGGGCAATACAAATCTCTTAATTCCGTTTCAGTAAACTTTGCAATGGAAAATGACAGTTTAATAACTAATGGTCTTACAATCCATAATCAACACATCGTACAACCCATAATCAACCGGTGATATAATAAATAGGTTTTTTGTTATTTTAATGGCATTTATGATTTGTTAGCTGTAAGGTTTAAGCTTCAGCTTGATTAAAGATTCAACTTTTGACCTGTCTATGACAGACAATGTAAATCTCTTAATTCCATTTTAGCAAGCTTTGCAATGGAAAATAATAGTTTAATAATCAATGGATCGTAAACCCCATTCGATTCGGATCGACCGGTGATATAATAAACAGAACTTTTGTTATTTACATGGTATTTATGATTTGTTAGCTGTAAGCTGTAAGCTTTTAGCTTTAGTTCGGTTAAAAATTCAATTCAAAAATTTTATAATAGCGTAACAGCCAGAAAATAATTTCTATTCAAAGTTGAGTGGTAAGTGAATGTGTTGCGCGCACCACATTTTTACTTTTCTTATGAAATATATAGAAAGGAAAAGTGTTGCGATCCTGAAAATTTTCGAATCTCAGTTTTGAACGGAAATACACCTTTTGAGGTACCCTGAGTCCAAATAAACAAAGTCCCGCAGAATGGTCTATGTGTCTGTTTGTGTGTATGGGAAAAGTTTAGCTCAGTTTAAAGTCGTACGAAACTGATATTACGTATTTAAGATAGATATATGACTGAGCTGTTACAACAATGTTCTCTAACATGGCTTAAATGGATAATGTTTAATATTAGGTTCTCCTAAAGTACCTTTATTTTTTTTTATATGAAACAACTGACCATTTCACATTAATCTCTAATATAAAAGATAGTCAAATATAAAATATGAAAGAATTTTGTAACTAGCTTAAGCAGAAATAAGATATCGTTACGGAGAATAGTTAGTAATTGAGAAACCAAAGGAATAACGAGTGCACCCGAGCTCCCCCGAAAGATTAGAACAGGTTTCCATGTGTAACACGAGCTTAGTATAATACGGACTCGGACAATATTAAGCAAATATACAAATGCGGTTTTCATAAATGCTATTAGTTGCTATGCCATTTTTGTTATTATTTAATATTTAATTGTATAGATTACAGCTATATAAGTATTCAAATTTGTATTTCTAACGGCACTTATACAAATAAAATATAAATAAATATAGAGTCTATAATTTTTTTTCACTTCCTCTTTGTCTGAAAATATTTATTTCTGGTAAGAAGAGGGTGGTAAATGAAAGTTGTGTGATTCGTGCACCGCATCAGATTGTTATTAAATAATTTAGTAACTAAGAAACTAATTTTAATAGCGCAAAGTTATGAAACTTGGCTCTCCTTAACAAATATAAAAATGTACATGATTTTCTTTACCTCTGGGGTACAGATATTTATTTATTAAGCAAACAATTTTTATACCGTCATATTACTCATTATATATAAGTAATAGTAGAAAAACAGATACCTATATTCTAATATAGTGTACTATATTATTATTATATTATATTAGTATTATATCATGAATAGTGATTTTTTTTCTTGCTCTCAAAGTTTTGAGAGGGGAGGAGGGATTTAAATGAAGTATAAGGCTACCCCACCCTCTACTCTGGCCCGGGTTAAACACCCTAAAACGCGAGAAATGGTACGACAGATAAAAAGATAAAAATGTTTGATAGATAGTCAACATTTTTATTAATTAAAAAATATACCAAATACTTTTATCAAACAACGACACTGATCAAATAATTAACTTTCTTCAAGTATTAAACAATATAAATTATATTATTGTGGATTTCATGTTATTTCCTAACGGATTTCAGGAATGGGAAATCAATATGAACATTGCAGTTGATGAACTTCGCCAAGCTCACTCATTGACTGTTCTTGAAAACATGTGGAATATTCAAATAGACAAATTGTTTATTGAATACAAAACTATGTAAGCGTAAAACATCCTCCTATCTAAAATATTTAATAATTTTTATATAGTGATAAGCAAAAATTTATTTTATTTATTTATTCTTTTTTTATATTTACAATTACACTGTATGGAAACTAGCAGATCTGATATATATCGTTTGTTTCTTTGCATTAAACCAGGAATGAAATCAAATAAACACATTAAAATAAATACATTTACAAATAATTACAAAAAAAAAAAAATTGTTTTCGGTAGATGTTATTGATGAGAAAATGGTTTGGGGAATGCCTTGAGGAAAGTAACACAAGGAAAAGTTATACATTGCTTCAGTGTGTGCCAACGTTTCGGCCAACGTTGTAGGCGTTTATCTTTCATTACACCGATTGTTCATGAACAAAATATTTAATTTAGCATTTGAATTAATCAATTGTAATTTTTCTGTTTACTTTCCCCCTTTACTTTTCTTTAGCATATACAAACAGTGGATGAAGTGTTCGTTCTTAAGGAAAAGTATTTACTTTAAATTTTACATTTAATATAAATTGAACGGTTTAACAGTGGTAATTATGCAATGTAATTCTGAATAACAACTCTTGATTTTTATCATTTGATGTAAAGAGAAAATCGTTTTCATTAAACCCCTTTGAGCCAAATCGAAAAGCACCGTTTTTTACATTGCTTAAGAAAATCCACTCATTCGTGCGTTATCCACTAATATATCCGGGGGAATTCGTTTAAATTGATATGAGACTATCTTCTTACCAACTGGCGTAGTTTTCGAATATTTCATGTAAATTGAATAAAATCAGTAGTTTATAAGCATGGAGCTTAATGGAGTAGTTTGCGTTCACGAAAATTGTATGAGATTTGAATTAAATTCGAGATCAATTCTTCATAGTTCATATTAACGAAATATCAGCAACTAAGCATATACTCCGTGGTACAGATCCCTTTTTATCGAATTATTAACATCTGCCTGAAACATTGTAAATAGTTTCATCTCATCGTAACCTACAACTATTTTATTTACGAAAAATCTTGGAATTGGCGCGTTTTCAATATGGAGGAGGTCTATTTAATTAGGTACTAAAGACTCATAAATACCCGCTTGTTTTCTACTTCGATCGTAACATAATTTGATCACAAAATCGAGAAAAAAGGTGGACTTCAAAAATATTGAGCCGTTTGACGTGACTTACACCTCCAAATTTTCAAAATAAGGAGGTTATATTGTACAAACGACCCAATATTTTTGTAGACCACATTTTTTATCGATTTTGTGATCAAATTATGTTATTAGAATGTTTCAGGCGGATGTTAATAATTCGATTAAAAGGGATCTGTACTACGGACTAATAATAATGTAATAACTTTTAATCGGGTAGCAATGAACTGTGAGCTATGATGAGTTGACTGCTTTTGTATTTTCCAGGTTGATACAATCCCTCCAGTTCGAAAAAATGACGTTGGATACCTATACTCCGATGTCGAGAATGACTTTTGAACTGTTTATAGCTGCACTGGATGTTGTAATAACGGAAGCGTCGGCTACATCAAACACAGAAAGAATTCCAGAGGGGTCAATATCCATCAAAGAAGTAGAAGAACGTAATTTCGCGCTGAACGAAATCATCATCACTTGTGTCAACAATGCGACAATGGGGTAATTAAAGTTAATGAAATGTTTCTTATTAATCTTCTAAAGGAAAATTGAATATATATATATATATATTATATATATATATATATATATATATATATATATATATACATATATATATATATATCCTTGATTAATGGCGGTTAGGCTTTAGGTACCTAATCTTTTTAAAATTAAAATCAATTCGAAAAATTTTCTCGGTGCAATATATATATTGTAATATTTTCTCTCTCTCTTTTACTTTCTCTCTGTCTGTTATTGTCGACGTTTGTCTTTTAAAATCTGAAATCTGTTCTTCTAACCTTTAATATTTCTGTTAGTCAATTGACCTGGTTTTCGTGTATCTATTTACCTTTGTAAGGATGGGGTGTATAAGTTTAGATAAGATGAGAAGGATAAAGTATATTAAATAAGACCGCCAAGAATGATAGATTGACAACCCCTACACATCCAGGGCTCAGCAACCGAGGAGGCAATCCCCTGACGTTGCAAGGATAGGTGACCTCACGCTCCCAGGGACAACCTGAAAGACGCAAGTGGTGCTGCAGAAAAACGTGTGACAACCACGTTAATAATTCTACAAAAGGAGAAAGGAGGTATTGGTTAGGAGAGATTGGGTCTCAGTGTAAGCATAGGTTAGGTAAGACCGCCAAGAATGATAGGTGGACAACCCCTACACATCCGGGGCTCAGCAACCGAGGAGGCGATCCCCTGACGTTGCAATGATAGGTTAGGTAAGACCGCCAAGAATGATAGGGAGACAACCCCTACACATCCAGGGCTCAGCAACCGAGGAGGCAATCCCCTGACGTTGCAAGGATAGGTAACCTTACACCCCCAGGGACAACCTGGAAGATACAAGGGGGACTGCAGGAAAACGAGGGACAACCACGTTATTCCTACGAAAGGAGAGAGGAAGTAATTTAGGAGAGAACAGAAGGTGAAAGTAAATAAGGTAGATAAGGTAAAATAAAAAAATAACAAAACGGTCTGGTTTCAAACTGACAGACAGAGAGATTCCTGGAGCCTTTGTGGAGGAAGAGGTAGTGACTCGGTAAAGAGTGCCTGCCCGAGGGACTAGGCTTCTAATTAAACTAATTACCAGCCCTTAGACCTGTTTTCAGGTTAGTGAGAGGCAACACTAGTAACAATTATTTTAATTAGGCCCTGAGATCTCTAAGTCCAAACTTTTTTTATTTTTATTTAATTATTATTCATGAATACTTATTTTAAAAATATTACAAACATTAGTTATTCACAAAATAAGTAATTAAAAAAGGAAATAATAAATAGCTTCAAAATGAAATACATAGTTCACTGGGCAACTAACAGGTTGCGCTACTAAAATTATTAACCCTTATTAGAGCAAACAATGACTTGCATTAATGAATGAAATAGATCATTAGAACAACGCCTAGAGGGCGCCACGCACATCCTCCAACATACCATACCACTAGTCATTTACTATTCAACCTTTAACAGAGAAGGACCTTCCGTCCGTTAGCTCTAATACATCGTACCCTTTAATCTTTATCGATAGTTAAATGTTATTATTGCTTTTACAATTTCAAATTAAGTCACAACTAAACATGAACATGAGTTCTGTTAACAATTACAATTTATAAAGGCCCTAATAAAATATGTTACAATATATATATATATGCAATTATAAGGAAAGAATTCTCTTAGATCTTCATAAAACTATTTTATGTGGACTAGGCCTTAAAATACAGGAATATCACAAATATTAGGCCACCTAACGCACCCTTGGAATCTCGGAACAAAAATTCCAAAGTTTGTTGAAAAAAAATTTTCAAGAACGTACGAAAGGAAGTCGTCAACGTTTTAAATTATTAAGTTTATTTAGAAATATAACAATCTGTCACGTGGACAATAATTATAGTGATAACACATTCATACCATATATACAGAAAATATGAAATTAACAAAAGGAAAACAATAATTAAAAACGATGTACAATAAAAAATAAAATAACCTAAAGATGAGTAAATTAAAAACATAAAAACGCAGTCATGCCTATATAAAATCAAGCAGGGAACCCCAAGCCAGGCTTTTCCCTCCAACTATAGAAGGAAAACAGGAGATCCCTGCGCTACTCTCTCAACTGCGTCACTGCTGAAGCCAGTGGAGTTTGAGCGAGAGCGCGGAGAATCCGGCCATTGCCAGAACTCCAACATATATACTACAATAGATCTCTGGGCCACTGCCGCTTCAACCTTCGAGGAGGATTGTAGGGATGAGTGGAACTAGATAGGGATTGTGCTAGAGGATTCGGATGATTAATAAGGTTCTGATGGAATTTGGAAAAATTTTCAGAGATAAGGTCGAGGGGAAATGTGATATATATAATAAGGTCATGGTGTAGGGTTTTGTTGGTTACATAAGACGGAGCATCAACTATTGTTCGGAGGATTGTGGACTGAAAGGATTTAATGCATTTGATAGAATATTTAGCTGTCCCCCAAAGTTTAGGTCCGTAGTTCCAAATAGGTTTCAAGATTGTTTTGTATATCAGTAATTTGTTGGAAATTGAAAGTTGAGATTTTCTAGTCATTAGTCTGTATAATTGGCCATATCGTCTGTTAAGTTCTTGTCTTTTGAGTCTAGTATGTGGGTTCCACGTTATTCTTCGCTCTAAGAGAAAGCCAAGATACCGGACTGTGTCTGAAAAAGGTAGCTGGATGGAATGAAAGTGGACTGGTGGACAGGATCTGTACCGGAGGGTGAAGGTAATGTGTTTGCATTTGGATTCGTTTACTATCATGCGCGATTTGTTGCACCAGTGCTCAATCAGAGATAGCTGTCTTTGCAGATTTAAAGATGCTATTTCAGGAACTGAGTTAGATGATATGATGGCGGTGTCATCAGCAAATTTTGCCAGAATGGTATCGGGATGGACAGGAATATCAACGGTAAATAGGATATAAAGGATGGGGCCCAAGACGCTACCTTTAGGAACACCGGCTTCAACTGGGTAGGAATTGGAAAATTCTGTACCACAGCGAACTCGAAAGGTGCCATCAGAGAGGTAGGAGCGGAGGATTAGGCACAATGACTGGGTAGATGGGCTTTCAGCTGGAAAGAAGCCCGACATCCTATACCCAGTCAAAAGATTGAGCTATGTCCAGAAATGCATCCGAGTAATATTGGTTGGATTCCGAATGAGAGGTGAATGTTCTAGAAAGGTGTCTGGCGAATTCCTCAACCCCCTCCACCGTACTTTATCAGAGGCACAGTTAACTGGAAACTCTTTCATCAAATCCTTTCCGATAAAATTGACCTCAGAATAACCCTAAAAACTCCAGAAGACCTCGATAATAGATCCTGTTGATATAGTGCCCAAAGGCTTTTTATCCCTGCTGTTGATCTACTTCTGATAGAACAGAAAACAAATTTTCTTATTTTTTTTAGAAGAAAATAGTACATTTATATTTATATTTTATGCTTTTCGTTTATTCTCTAAGCTCATTTTTATATATAACAAAACATTTGGTAACTGTTACTGCCAGTAGTTTCTGCTACTTATATTCCATTTCTGTGTTACATTTAAAGGTACATTGAAAGTTTGATATATTTCCGAAACGAAATTCAAAATAACATAGACAAATTGGACACTACTTGGCTGACAAAGAAAAAAGCAGATTTGGACTGGCAGTTCACAGTGAAAGAGGAGAGAATGCTGCATCGAATGCACCGGATGAAAACTGACATTCTTGACATCCGTGCCGCTGAACTGAAAATGCACGAAGAGGTCCTTTATAGGCATGCTGAGGTACATTGTTTATTTTAATTCGATCCTACGTATATTACTAATTTTAATTTTTAAGCTTTTATTATTCTTTTTAATACGTTTTTAAAAAAATATTTACTGAGGAATATAAAATTCTGCCACATGAACTATAGGTAAGACTTTATTATACAGAAACTGTAAAATAAAAAGAAGCAAAATAACAACTAAATAATTATCAAAAAGTATATAGAATACATAAAAGAAATATAACTTAAAGACTAGTAAACTAATAAAAAAAAAAAAAAAATACAGACACACTATTAACAACCAGGCGAGCTTGTCCTTCCAACTATCGAGGGAAAAGCGAAACTCCAGAAGATTCCTGCGCTATTTCCTCAACCTCATCATTGGTGCTAAAGCCAGTTGAGATTGAGCGAGAGCGCTTTCACCACATATACTTATGTCTTGAAGGAGAATCTGACCATTGCCCGAACTCCAATATGTGGTTTCGGAATCAAACATATATAAGTGTCTCATATAAGATTTGTAGTTGGCTGTTATAAAATTAAATCTGAATTATAAGACACGACTGAAACTAGAATTTATTCCAGGAGAGGCAAGATTATTAGTAACAATTATAAAGATAGGTAGAGAAAAATGAATCAATTGCACTCGAAGAATTTACTATTTTATTAACTATTAACTAGCATTAAATTAATCGTTATATCCATCGTTTGCGGGTTTTAACCCTAAACAAACTTCTAATTAATGAATTACAAACGTGGATCTAAACTATGAATGGATTAATATAAATCTAGCAATTTATTACAATGTAAATTTAAAAGCCCCATCCCTCCCAAGAAATTTTATTAGTTCCCTATTTTTAAAAACAGTCCAGAAAAAAGGAAAAAGTAGAAAGCGGTGGTTTGGTCTCTATTGTTCCCTGAATTGAAACTTTAACTCTGAAAATTCATAACTCTGTCGAAATGTGTCCCCCTCAAAAATTCAAATCCTCGTAAAAATGTGCTCCCCTCAAAAATATTGATACCGCAACTTGCGCCATGTAACCCCCTTCTTGGCATCCCAGTGCAGGAATGTTTATCAAGTCACTGCTCCAAACTTCCCTATTGCCTTAATGGCAAGATAAGTAGGAAAATAAAATAAATAATTTCATTTTTCTTGTTAGCGTAGACCCTGAACACCTAAAATTCTCTACGTTTTCAAACGTATTTTCGTCAATATCGAAAACACCGAAATCGTCGCCATCCCCTGCTCAATCCGATTATTATACAGCTTCTGGCGGTCAATAAGCCTTTTGATATCGATATAGAGCTGGTGAACAACACCGTTGTACTCTAATCTTTTCTCCAATTTTTTTCCGTAAAGAAAATATTTGATCCATAGTTAAACGGCTCCGTTTAAATCCGCATTGGTTATCTCCGATAATTTCCTCGGCGTTTGGTTAGGATTAATGTGAATATTTTACAACATACCGGGAGGAGATAAATTCTTCGATAGTTATTATAATCCGTCCTCGCGCTCTTTTTGTAAATGGAAATATGAATAGATTCTTTCCATTCTTCATTTTCCCAGATCTGTTTAACCAAATAGTGTATTATAGAAACTCTAGGTTCCTCGCATGCCTTAATTAGTTCACTGAGAATATTATCAGTTCCCGCTGCTTTATAAGATTTTAATTTTCTGATAGTTATTTTAACTTCCTCGTTACTTGGATCTCCTGTTAACTGTTCGGCACTCTGGTACTCTGTAGGAGATTATTGTTTTCCGTCTTTAAAATATTGTCAAGGTATTTCTTAAGCTTGCTTAATATGTGTACCGGGTCAATGAGGATATTGCTATTTTCATTCCTAATTCTAGTCGTAGTACCAAGTGTCATGGCCGCAACTACAGTTCTATGCTTGCATCGCTCTGTGTTTATTCCTTTTCATCAGGTTAATTCTTCAATTACTGCTGATATACAGTGAAAATAGTGTGTTTTTGTACATTTGAATATTTTCACCTTAAAATATTGAGGTGATAGACATTTATTAAAATATACGTTCGGTGGAAACAGCTCAGCTGGCCGATAATTCTCTTTGCGGGTCTTACCTTATCTAGATAGATTCACGGTCAAGGCCTGGTACCTTCCTTCGAGTGATATCGAGTTCGTATATAAGAAATAAGATTTATTTTATTATTTTTTATTCTGAGACTTTTAGTTTTATTTGTTTATGCACATTGAGAAATGTTTTATTTTACTTCTAAATATTTTTGTAAATAGCTTACTTTTAAGAATTAATTTCATTATTTCCATTTTTATTCCATTATAACATTTATGGACTTTTAATTATTTTGCTATCATGCAACTTGATAATACTTCTGGTGATGAATCGGGGGAAGAGACCCCATTTTCAGAAATAAGCGAGACAGATTCGCAATATTTAAAAAGAAGGACACTCCAAAAGCGCAATCGAAATTCTGCCCCTGGATCGGCGGGTAACCCATCTACTAAGAAAAAAAAAGTTACCAAATCAAAAAAAATGACTAAAAATAGCAAATCTACAGCAAAACCAACATATTCTAATCTTATGAAGGGAAAAAAGCAGGGCAAGATCGAAATGGTATAGGAATAGATATCCTTCAGATAAAACTTACTATACCGAATTGACTAACAAACTAAAAATAGAAATTAGAAAACTCAAAAATTACTTAACCTAACTGATAATCTTACAACTACTGACAAATCTCTATGGACGACCATGAAAAAGATTCTAAAGTTTAAATAATTTAATCCCCTATTAACTGAATCCCAAACCTGGTCCACATCCGATGAAGAAAAATCTCAACTATTCGGTCAACACTTCTTCCAAAACTTTAATCCACATAATGATATCCTTAATCCAAATCAAATTGTATGTATTGAAACAAAACTGGATATTCCACTCCAAATGACTCTTCCACCTAAAGCATTTCATCCTTCGGAAATATCCAGAATACATAAACATCCATCATCAACAGATTATCTTCCCAAAAAGCTTCTGGACACGACCTTATCATTTCGCCGATCCTAAAACTACTTCCTCGGAAAACCATTCTATTCCTCACCTATATATATAATGGTGTGCTGATCCTTAGAAACTATCTATTGTCAAAATGTTACACAAACCTAAAAAAACACCCAAACACCCATCCTCTAACCGTCCTATTTCTCTATTACCTCACAAGGGAAATAAAATCCTGGAAAAACTCATCCTAAAACGCCTGTATCCCATTCTAGACTCTAATGACATTATCCTTGATCATCAATTCGGATCCGCACATCGCATTCCACTATCCAACAATGTCATCGTGTGGTTGATGTAGTCTTCTCTGCATTGGAGCGTGGGTACGTACTTCACGGGAGTCTTTCTCGACGTTGAACAGGCGTTTGATCGATTCTGGCACCCGGGACTTCTGTACAAACTCCGCAGTCCTATCCCCTACATACTTCCTCATTGGTGGGCGGGGTGGCCGAATGGGCTAACACGTGTGCACTGCACCGCCGTTGCCCGGCAACCTGATACATAAGACTTTGATAAAAAAAATAATCACGAGTTCGCGTCCAGGAGGAGTTTTTAAATCCCCGCCCACACTCCCTGGCCCGGGAAAACCCCGTATAGCCTGAAAGGCGAGGAAGGGGAGGACAAAAAAAACAAAAAAAAAAAACACCATACTTCCTCATTATCCGTTCCTATCTTACCGATAGATACTTCAAAGTAAACCAAAATAATGTCTGTTCATCCCTCTTTGCTCAATCTGCAGGCGTTCCACAAGGTAATATCCTCGGTCCCATCCTCTACACACTTTATACAGCCGACATCCCAACCAATCCTGACACTCTCCTTTACTCTCCGTCGTAAACCTATGAATCCTTGTCCTATATTATCCTTCAATAATACTCCACTTATTTCTCTTGAGCAAATCTCCTACTTAGGACTCCACTTGGATAAACATCTTAATCCTCATACTAGACTGAAACGACAAGAAACTGCTCGACGTTTTCGACTGCTCCAACACTTACTAGACAAACGCTCTAAACTTTCAATTAATTACTAAAGACTTATCTACATAACTATAATAAGACCTATATGGGCATACGGAGTTGAGCTTTGGAATTCCACCAAACCATCGAATTCCTATCGTGCCCAATCTTTACAATCCAAAATTCTCGGTAAAATCCTTAATGCTCCATACTTTGTCACAAATAAAAACATTCATAAAGACGTTAATGTACCATATGTCGCTGATTTAGCCCGAGTCTGATATTTATCCTTTCATGATAAACTCCAGTCCCATCCAAATCCCCTTGCTTTTTCCTCGATTCCTGATAATCCTCCTAGCCGACCGAAAAGGAAATGGCCTCGTGATCTTCTTACTTAGAATTATTTAGGGAGTGCTACCACTGGGTAGTATCTCTTCAAGCCTGTTCATGTCATTATTTATAATTTGTGCATATTTACTGGTTGTATTTGTATACAGTTGTAAATTTCATTAAATAAACAAACAAAAAAGAAATTCTAGTCGTTACGGATCCTAAACATATACGTGATCTGTTTATACCTCTGTACATGTCTCTTACGTTATTTTAGATTCCAATAGTTCCTGTATTTATTATTTTATTTTTTAGATACTCCCTTTCTTTTATTTTTGAGCATTTCAGTAGTTTCATTTTATAAGGCTCGGAATTATTCAAGATAGTTTTCACTAGAATAATTTAGAGCTTTTAATTTAGCGGCTTTTCTTTTTTAGCAAAAATTTAAGTAATCTTCATCAAACTACAGTTTGTTCTTTTTATTTACTTTTTTTTTCTAAGATACGAGTTACGGGCCACTTTAATATTATCCCTGATCTCTCCCCATAGCTTATCTACATCATCGCGTTCGTCGTCAAAAGGCTTAAAAGCTTCAAATCTACTCTTAACTTCAAATTCGACTTGTGATCTAATTGATGGATTTTTTAATTTTTCTTAATTAAAACGTTTTTTTTTCTATTTTTACTATTAA